TTTAAAGAGTCATTAAATATTTTAAGCTTTCAAAATGTTACATACGCAATGGTTAACCGAATTATAGACGTTAAAAACTCTGAAAGTTACAGGTAGTAGAAGAGAGCAGCGAGATATGAACTTCAATTACGACTAATAATTATTACATTCCAATTAACGATATTATAAAATATAAGAGCTTACAGCTTTACGATTTGTTTTATTATTTTATGGGAAGATGATTTAATTGGAATAATAAAAAGACGATAAATCGATATCTAACGATTGCAATTATTGCATCAGTGCAAACCAAAACTTAATTCCTGGGGATTTAGTCTTAAATCTATTCATTGCAATCGTAAAGCGGTGCAATACTGGTCGTGTATTTATTAGCCCTTATTCGGTACTGGTGGGTCATTTTCATCCGTACAATTTCTAACAGTATCGATTCGTCGAAAACTAACAGTCGTAGAATCATCGCTCCCCTCCCTAAAAAAACAATTTAATAAATCTGTTATTTTAGTCTTTATTTAGAAGGATTGGCTAAGATATAAGTTTTTGCATATTTTGAACCCTACAACGGTACATTTCCGCATTCGATCATTAAAGGTACACTGGGTGTTGGGTGTGCGACACCCAGTATACCCCTCTAGAGTAAAAACACTTTTACAGTTCAAGAAACGAGTCAGATATAATTGACCCATCAGTATGGTTTAAGATTATTAAAAATAACAGTAAAGAATTAGGATTACTATATAGTAATATATGCCTTAGTTAGCATAATTGTGTAATATAATATCAGAACCGAAATACAGAGTGTTTCAAAATTCATGATCCCATTTATTTTGCTTATGATCGCAAATGAGGTGGTGATTTTTGCAACAAACTATAATTTTAAGTAATATGTTCAAGTACTACATATTCATAAATGCATAATAAAGATTTAAATTTGTTTAATTATATTCAAAAAAATTGAATTTTAGTGGGACAAGTAAAAAAATCAAAGAGTTGAACACTTTGAAATTTGAAAAGCGAAGAATTAAGCAGTATTCATAAATGACTGTTAAAACCTTATGAGATTAATTATAATCACCATTACAGGAAGGTAGGACACCAAATATCAAAGCAAACTTTCATGTACAAATCCAAATGCAAATAGAAACCAACCAACAAGCGGCGATAGACTATGGTTACATTAAATTGTATAATTAAAAAGTCATACGTAACGTGCTGAGATAATGATATCGTCATGTTCATGTGTAATATTATTTGACAAAGTCAACATTTGAACAAATAACGTCAATGTTAATAAAACATGTATGACGCAATTTCTTTACACGGATTCGCTTAATATAATCATTTAGTCATATGACTAAAATTATTTGGTCTGCTTACAACTGTTTCAACATACAAATGGGTATCGACTAATGTATCCACAGCCTTAGGCACCGAAAACCTATTCACGGTAAGTACAGCATAGTAAAGCAATCCTAGGAGGGAAAATGTAAATTATGAAGATTGGAAAGCGGAAAAGGGTGAAAAAGCTGAAAGAAGCGGAGAAAGAAAAAAAAATAGAAAGAGCATATGAGCTGTGAGATATATAAAGATGTGTATATATGTATATATAGAAGGCAGTGTACGACGGATCAAGGAACGCGAAACATAAAGTGACGTTTTATCTTAAGGGGCTATTCTGGTCTGGCCGGTAAAAGAAAAACATTTTGTTTTCGTTTTATTAAAGTATAGGGCCTCGAAAATGTGTTTTCAATATAGTAGAATTTGTAAAATTTACAAAGTTATAGAGGTTTGAATTATGTAGCGTATTAGGCAAATAAGACAAAGTTGGTATGCTTCTAATAAAAATGGGATAAGCCCATCGTGTTTTCAAATTAGATTAAATTATAGAATAACAAAAATTCTTTAAGAAAGAAGATCCCTTTTTTAACCCCAGATTGGCTAATTAACGTTAAGGTAGCCCTTTCATGATAGTATTAAATGGATCCTTTAAATAAATATATGTTGAATCTACAATAATAAGAGGTACATGTATGAAAAAATAAGTGAGGTTACCGGCACTTTACAAGAAATAACTGATGGTAAAAGTCAAAAAAATTGCCTCTGCCGATCGAATTATCCTTCTGTATGGTAAGTAGTTTTAACTCGATTTTGACCGCGGCAACTTCAGATGTCATATTTGGGATGGGACATACGTTATACAGTTAGCGATTATTTGTATACGTAATCAAAATCCGAAAATATTACCTGAAGTTTCCAAATTTCGTAGATAGTTTGAAAAAGATGCGTTTATCGAATACTTTGCTCTGATATCTGAAGTTAAATAAATAATGGATCCAATGGCATACGGATTTTGTTTTACTTATGTCGTCAGAATGACGACTAGAACCAAAAATCCGAGTCCAACCGCATTACTATCGTGATCATTTTCAATTAAGTAAATAATTAAATATGATTAATTCATGCATATAAAATCATATTTTCTATTGTTAAAATTATTAGAATCTTACAATATCTTTATTTTCAATGGCCTGACGATGGACAATTATTTGACTAGGTGCCTTAAGTTTCATACATTTTCTATTATGGCAACAAAAGGATACGAAGTACTTTAAACGTGTTTTTGTCGAAACAATTTTTTTCAAAACGGGTGTATAGTTATCTCAAAAAATGCTGGACCGATTGACTTGCAATTTGGCACACATTTCAATAGCACGTATGTCTATCGCAAGAATCTCTAGAATATAGATGTTTTTCAATACTTCATTCTTGCCCTCTTGTTTCAATTGAAAAATTCTCGACAAATTCGAAACTCTGCATTTCAAAAGTTGCCATTTCGTGAAAAAGGTTCGGTCATTTTTATTGAGCTTTGGGCGATAACAACAACTATAAATATTTTTAAAATTTGTATTCGTTTATCTCAGATGATTGAAACGGCTATAATCGACAACACGCCGAATTGCACGGGTATTTCGCGACATGACCTGCGCGTCGATCTTTTCTTCGTTTACTTTTCATAAAGATGCGCTATACAAATTTGAAGTGTTAATTTAAAGATTAATAGTTTTTCCTTAACTAATTCTCAAGAATCACATTAAAAATGAGTATTTAGACTAGAGTACTTCCTTAAGTAAAAGGCAAAAAACAAAATTACGAAGATAAAATTGAAACACGTTAACCCAAATGCGGGATGCTGTCAATTTCATAAAAGTATATATAATCTTTAGAATGTTTGTAATTAGCAATCGATTGATGGGACGTTTAATAATTAAGGATGGCGACATCCTTATGTGACGTGCGCTTATCACTGCATTGAATGGACAGCTGAAAGCCTCTCTTAATGAAGGTTGAAACTTCAACGGAGTTCGTTCGCCTAATTAGTATCAAATTTTGCAAAGTAATTTCTGTTCAATAACTTAGTGCTTGATGTAACATATTCTACAGTTTGATAATAAGACCTCTAGATTTTAGTTGAAACAATTTTAAGGCTGCTTAGAATCTTTACTACCGTCAAAGATTTTATTAAGAATATTTATTTAATAATTAATATAATTATACTATAGATACTCAGTGCGTTCACTGATCACTGGTATAATTCCAATAAGTTCGCTTATACATATACGACGTAACGAAGAGCGTCCTACTTAAAGAGATAGGGGTACTTTATTTTTAACCGAGGACATATGTTGAGAAAAGTTGTTAATGCAAAAGTTGTGGAGTTTTTTATAAAGCTCTATGGCTCTTTTCTTGTAACCGTATAAAGCACAGATTAAAAAGGCAAATACTTTAATCAATTGAGTCTGTATCGAAAGTGATTACACGCTAATTTGATTACAGTGTCAACGAGTATAAAGAAGAAAATGAATTTTGATGATATTAATCGATCATAATTTTACGATTAATAGAATAATAATAACAATATAAAACTGTTTATAAGTCCGCTAGAAAAAATGTGGTTATCGACATATAGAATCTTATTATTTATTATTCCGATATATTTGTATTATAGGAAGTTCATTTTCAATGCCTATTACACTTTTGTTTTTTTTCTAAAAATTTTGCAGTGGAAAAAATGGACAATTGCTTTGAGGATTTGTCCAAATCCCATATAAGGCCAAACCGAGTAAATCAGACACAGTGCAAGGGCTCTGACTAATATAGAGTGACCACTCTCTAAAATACTCATAATGGACGCACGACAGGACCCTAATTTAATTAAGGCAAACTAAACTTAATTTAATTATTGGGACCTGTAGAAAATCCCAAAAACATTTCGGCACGGGTAAATACTTTCAATGTATATAGTTAAATATAATAATAGAATTAGAAAAAGACTCCTTCGTAGTTCCATTTACGTGGAACGCGAACCCTTGCGTGTTCATAGAAATTATTTTCAGGTACTTTTCCAATAATTGCCACTTCGTCTAATCAATATTCCTTCGTCGCAATTTCAGAAATTTTCAAGGGACATGGATATTTTTAAGTTATTTCCTTGCGACTGTTCTTATGCAAAAGAGATATACATTTTTCTGAAATATCATTTCTGTAATTAAAATTTAATATCATTTTCTTGATACTCTATTCTATTATTAAAACTACTTAATCTGTCGAACTTTCTTTCCGAATTAGGAATTTTTATTATTTTTATTATATTATATAATATTTATGAGGAATACCACGATGAACATAAAAGATACAAAGGAGCAATATTCACTATGGGTATGTAACTTGCGAATATTTCTGCAATAAATTTTAATTTATCGCTAAATCGAAATTTTGTATTTTTGTGATAATTATTACACGTACTATTTTATTGGATAAAACTCAGTTATGTAATTCGTCTCAAATAACTCGATATTGCATATCCGATACATATAACTTTTCCATGTAGGTGTGATAATGGTGTCACTATTCAATGGAAATGTGACAATGGTATCACGCTTAAGAAATTTCAAGTGATAAAAATGATCGTTGCTTAATTGTTTTATATCTATATGTATACATACCGAATCCCGGTGATGCGCTTTAGTGGCACATAGGAGCTCAGTAGAAACTGGATATTTATTTTCTTTGAACTACGCTGATTCACCGCAACGACATTTCAAATGGTCCATAAGCTTCGTCTCTTTCGTTTTTACATTTGTGAGAGAAAATTTCCGATATTAATATATATTACATTTTTTTATAAGGTATTTTGTAGGATTTCTCACTTCAAGCCACAGAATGTACTTGGATGAAAATTTTTAGAACGGTCGTATTACATATTTATTTGAACAAGTGTTCATAATTTTTCATATTATGGTAATCGATTTATACATATGCAATGTTTATAACTGATAAAGCAGGACATTTTATTGAACGCGAATCTGTATTTATCGATTCATTCAATTTTATAGTCGTTTAATTCACGTCGTGTATTTGCTAAAACCTTTGGTATTTCACATTTCTTTCTTCCGTTTTCATTGGTTTAAGAACCGCAGTGTGTTTATTAACGAACAAAAGGAAAGTTTGATAACGGATTTATCTGAAAATCAATGAAATTTTGATATATCACTAAATTACAAAATTTCAATTTTATAGATTTTTTAAAGCTCTGTCTGAAATGTGATTCACTGTATATATTTCAACTGCAAACCAATATTTCTCTGGAATTAATTTATAGCTTATAGCATGTGTAATCAATAATCAATCAAAAAAATTATTAAGCAATCTCCTACAGGTCTCATTTGCATTTGTCTAAAATGTCGACGATACAATATTGTAAAAACTCGATCGACCTTTTCTCTATAACACTGCATTGGACTGACAAAAATTGTGCAGTCTTTCATAAAATGTTCATCTAATTTTATAAATACACTTGGCTTAAATAAACACTTCGATTCGCCAATGAGCGTTTCTGACATTTACAGATACTAAATAATTCACGCTATAATCTAATATCGATCAGTAGCACAGTTCAAAATAGATAAATAATCAAGGTAACTTTTTGCAGAATGTAAATAAAAATATTTTGTTGGCAAAATACGAAAATTCTGTTATAGATATAACACCGAAGATCGTCTATTTTTATTATGACATCAATGTCAGAGTACGTATAAAAAATTTGGAACATTTGAAATAACACAGGAAATCCTCGTGCAAAAAATAAATATCGTAAACAATATTCCTTAAATCACACAAAATTAACTTTACTATATTAAATTGTCAGTTACATACAAATCGTCCAGATTTGCAGAAATCGAAAGAAGAGTAAAATTAATTTCGATAAATGTTTCTTCAAATGATCGTTTAAATGTCATCAACGCTATCACCATTCTATTAATATTGCTCTAGATTATCACCGCAACTTTTGCATGATTTGACCAGGTATGAGTCGCTACACATGTATGCAAGTACATACGTGGGGTTCGTGCGATATCGATTTCGATATTTGCACGCGGCCGTGAAACTCTTGGCGCTACATTCGCATGACTTCCTTACGTTATTTTTTGTCTTATTCTAACATTGTCAATTACGATAACACATCTAAGATTTGAATAACATTAATTCAATGCACCTAAGAACAAATTAGGTTTTTACGTAGGTAATTCTTAAGTTCGTAATTTAAACGTTCCGACCATTGCCTTTTGTAAATGACGGTTTTCATATTAAATAATTTCTATAATTACAGACTGATATTTTTGTCTTCCCTTTATTATTGTTATTACGAAATGCAATTTCACGATAAACGCTTATGCAGTATATACTGTATACACTGTATACCAGATCGATCCTATTACTTCAAATCAATGCATATACGTTATCAACATTTTTATAAAATTAATAATACCTCCACTTAACAGTTTAAGGTCGATTAGCAAAGTTAATTTCAAAATTTCAGTGTTGATTTGCCTGCTCACAAGCTTGCCAGAGCGTTGAGCGAATTGTGTGTTTTGTGATCCAGAACGAAATTTTCGGCCAAGCTGATAGATTGAGGTATATGCAATTGGAAAGTCGCCGCCTAATCGAAATTTCAAGATCATGAAATTCGCGAAAGATTTTTCGCGTAACGCCATCCTATGTGCTTTACGAGGTCGAACGTAGCATAAGTAATTTAACGTGAGTATAGCGAACACTCTACACATGCACACTGGTAAGAATGAGTACGAAAGTTGGATACCATTGACTGTCAGTTATAAAATAAAAAAATAAATAAAACTAGGTACCGGGAGAGAAATTAAAGTAATACGTAAAAATGAAAATTGTGGAAACACGAAAAATGACGAAATTGTGGAAAAATAAATAGAGACAGACGAGAGAAGAGAGAATAAGGGTCTCAAGCAGTAATGGGGAATTTGGGGAGAAAGGAAGTACGGAAAAGTTTTTAAAAATATAAGAAAGATAGTAATAACAAAATAACGTAACCACTGCCAGATTAAGCCTAAACCTGAGTGCTAATTGAGAAACTGTGGTAAAAATGAGACAAATAAAAGTTAGACCAAAATTGCAGTTGTCATACGTGACATTTGCACGCAACTGAACGCAGTACAGTTTTCTTCAAGCTACTGCACGTTCTTGTACGCTTTTCAATACCAATTATCATTTAGCACGTGTTACTTTCACTCACCGACAATTTTAATACACCTTCTTCCACGAAATTTCATCCCAAAGGACACCCGAGGATCGATATCGCTGTGTGGTTATCGTATTGACAATTTAAATATTATTAATTAAACATCATTTGACCTCTGATTAAAGTAATACAAATTGTAATTACGTACTCTGAAGGTCGTACGATTTCTCATTATCGATCTACAATAATAATTAAAGGGATGAATTATTTATTTAAGATCAATTATATTGCATCGTCGTACGCTATATGTCTGTGCGCCAAAATATTCACAGATTAAAGCACATCTCACGCTAATATTTAAAAAATTCTTTACCATAAAAATTTAGGCATCAGCACAATCTTTTTGTTACACTGAAATTTATCCACGTATTCATTATCTTTCAGTCTTTAATAATTTCGAGCACTTCACCTTAGCGTGTTCTCCTATTCTTCATTGTATACTGTGAGAATTTGCCTGTCGTCAGTCTGACATAAAATCGTCCAAGTAATTCCACAAGTTCGCCACGGACATCGATACTTATAAAGATTTACAACGTGGTACTTTACATTCTTGCACATATTGCAAGACAGCGCACACACGTACCTCCAAGTTACTTCCAGCTTGTCCCAGTTACATGCCTAAACACGGGACATTGGCGTCCGGCCATGGATATCAACGCTTTACGGTCAGTCACAACAAGATTGCCGTAACGACAAGTACAACACGAAAGACATTTTTCCAATCGGACACATATATCGGTATCATGATTTATTACAATATGTAAGAATTGATCTCTTAAAAAAAAAGATCAAAACAAGAAAAAATAAAAATACAAAAGACTGTTCAACAGTAAGCAGAAACGTGCGTACGCGCGCGGCATTCGCCAAAGTCGGCGCACAATCATCACAAATCTAAAGGAGACCAGACGAACGAGGTCCGACTCGACTCGGGCCGCTACTACTTACACGTGTGACGTGAAACTCAAGCCACTCGTCCCCCACCCACAACCTCACAACCCCCCCCACCATAACACCTTAGCGTAGGCTTAAAGCCACGCGCGCACTCCCACTCTTCACGTTCTTCCCACTTTTCAGAATTTTACAACTCCCTTTCACCCTCTCCTCTCACCCACGATTGCTCTTAGTTGGCACTACCACCTAAATGTGATTCGGCCCCTAAAGTCTGGTCGCTTCGCCACTCCACTTCTTAGACTTGCCAAAATTGAATCAATTAAGGCCAGATTAAAATCACGAATCGTGGGAATGAAGGATTTTCTTGCGCGATGAAAATTCTATTACTTGCGCAAAGTATCGGATGGTCCCACGGTATATTATTTCTGCTTTCCCGCGCTTCTTGTCGGAGATGAAAAATATTATTTTCACGTCATTGATACAAAGAAAATTTTAAGTCCACGAGCTTACGTATTCCCGTACCCGATCAAGTTGAAATTCTTTAAGCATATTACATTTGACATGATAAGTTCAAGACGAACGTTCCATATTATATTCCGTGCAAAGTTGATAGATTTGATCTTCACTGTGGGAGATATTCTGTTAAAATACGTATGGAATCTGCACAGTGCCGAATTAAACATAAGCTCATTAAAAAAAAAAAGAGAGAATATATAGACTAATTAATAACGAAACTGTCGGAGTTTGAAATGAGTTTTTTTTGCAGCAATTTTCCTGAGCAATTAGGTTGGAAGATATTATGCAAGAACTATAATACTAGAATATTCGGAGATATTAATCTTGAAAAATGACTACATTATTTAATTCATCCAGGTACTTTCATACGAAATTTACATAATTTGAATGAAATATAATTTTACTACTATGCGTAACGAATCAAATGTTTTCTTTTTCATAATTAACTCTTGGCACTCCGCTGGTGCCGCTACGGCGACATGCTGCTCGTAAAAAATAATTCTTGGAGTTCAAACGGTCAATCAAATTAATTTTGTTAAATTACTTGAAAAGCACGAATCGCAGCAACATAAATTATATTCGTTTATAAATATATTTACATGATAAATAAATGCATATGGGGAGATGATAAACTTGAGAAAAATATCTCACCGAAGTGCCATCTGTACTATCTCCACGAATATAATAAATTTTCCCTGGGCCATCCTTTTACGACTTTCAATATGAAACAGTCCCTTCAATCTTGCACGTAGCTAAACTATGTTCCAACTTGACCTCATGGTTACAGAGACTACAAATATTGGCGTCTAATTATTCAGAAGATAAATATTAAAATTACACGTGAATATGAAAATATTCATGTACGATTCTCAAACAAAATGGACCAATCCTCGCAGTCGAATTGCAGTGTAGCGACACAATTGTTATCAGAGAAAAATTTGAAGAAATTAAGGGGAGCGCCGAGGCGAAGTAGAATGTCATCAGACTTGGCGTCGCTATTTTTCTCCGCTCTTTTCTCTCCTATCATTCTACCCTTATAAGTTATAAGCAACCCCCGACTACCAACACGGTCCTGATACCCAAACACTTCCACTTGCATATTATTATACTATTCTGTTTACTAGCACTAGCTGTGCTCCAAACCGTCGCCCTAAGAATTATGATAATGTGCAATAAATAAAGTCGATGACCTTTTCTAGTGGATTAATCTTGAAAAATCAATATTTCTTCGCAGTGAGTAGCAGAAATTACTCTAGAACACAGTTCCATGTATATATATATATATATATACTATCGAAGTCACTAAATATATCAATATAAATGGCTATATCAATGCGTGTATGTGTTAATATTTAATCGCTCAAAAGATACCTGTGTTTAATTAATGTTTAATAGTAACACATTAGAGATTCAAGATTCTAAAATTACTATGAATTTGAAAAATCGTGATATCCGACACTACTTACTAATTAGTTAAGAAATACTTGAAATAATTTCCATGCGATTGATTTAATAAAAATTTACCAATCAAATTTGTACCACTTGAAAAAAAAATGGTCTCATGAATATCTTTCATTCATTCTGCAAAATTGCCAGAGTCCTCGAGGACATCGGACAAGGACAAGATCGAAGCTAAGAAATTATTTGAGACACTCGAATAGGAAGTGTGAGCTCTAAGTTCTATACGTCCGTAGGTCATGGACTCCGACTTCAGGGTAGAACATTCTGGCCGAATGGTTTATTTCACGGAACGTCACGAGGATAAGGATGAGATCGAAGGTTGAGCGGGGTGAAAACCCGAAGACAATGAGGGAAGTGGAGTTATTGCGGTCTTGGGGTAAAAAGCGAATCCGCTCGACTTTACCCGCGTGAAACGACAATCGGTTATACGCAGCAGGGGACAGTGCCGGGGATTAACTCGTTCGTTTTGAGCCAATCAGAGATTACGAACTGCGTACGTAGCTTTCTGTTAAGTGCGATTTACGTGACGTTTTTCACACTCACAGTCACTTGTTCTTATCGCTTTTCTATATTTCTTGTACGCTATTAATATACATATGTATATACATATGTTATATACGCCTACACCGTTCAGATTTGTACTTAGATAAGCTTTGGGCAATCAGGAACAATTTTTAAGAATCCAAATGTTACAAACCATTATAAGATAAGCATGATTGTTCTAACAAATTTTTCTGTGGTAAAACATGCCAGTGCGACGTTATGCTTTTCTGCTAATGTAAACGCTCGTTAGAGAAATTACTACGTATGTATAAGGTAATATTAGAGAAAATTGATTCAAGAATTTTATTCGACATGAATACTGCAGTAGCTGTTATATGAATTATGCTAATCCATTTTTTTTCCTTTTTCCGTAGAAAATCAGAAAAAGTCTTTCTATTTAATTACACTATTTTCACTGAAATTGACGATATTGTTTGTATACTGTATGTAACTCAGTGTAATAAGGACAAGAAAAATACTTGAGTAGCTAGTTTTGAGAAGTAGCGACTTCGTAGAGGGAGCGGCGGGAGGTGCGTGGGAGTACCAACCCAATAAATAAAAGAGAAGAATAGAAATAGAAAAGGACAAGGGTTGTAAAAATTCACGAGTTTCGGGGAACGTCAGTATATGAAGAGGGATGAGGAAGAGGAAGAAGAGATAAGGGGCGAAGGTGAAGGGTGCGAGAAAGAAAAAGAAAGACCGTAAACCAGCAATGCAAAGGAGAAAATAGGGAGAAAAGGAAAATGGAAGAAATGGCGATAAGGGCTGTGCACCCTATAGCAACTTAGGTCTACGAAAATTTAGGCCGAAGGGTACAAATCGCCGTAAGTGCCAGCGACTTGCCACAAACTGTGTTTCTAGTTCTTCTTTCTCTTTCTATTTCAAGCTACTCTCCCGGATACCTTTCTTTTTTGTCTTCTTCTCTCTTTCATTCTCTGTCGCGTATTTTTTTCGACTACGCGTTTTCTTCTTTCCTTACTACTTTTCTACTCATGACTTTCAGCTTCTTTTTATTCGGTTGGACTGTTTTCTTTTAGGCGTCCTCTCCGTCACTTTGTCAATATGTATATTCTTTTCCGACCCTTACGTTCCATCTCCTTTTCAAGTTCAATTGTATTGTCGTTTCAATGCTAAAGTTTCGTTTGTAATATCAGAAGGTTTACAAAACAAAAAGAACAATTAATTAAATATTTTCTTTTTTATCTTTACTATCACATTCGATATACCATGCATATATGATTCGTAATTAAAAAAAAAAAGTGATTTGAGAATATACAGCGTTATTCAGAAATATTGCACTAACTGAAGTTAGCTCGTTCATTTGAATCATAAGGGTAAAACCGCTTTCAGTTGATGCATCTTTTTTTTTAATAATTCTGTATATCTTTTTTAGTATATCACATGGTCCTTTCATCAACTAATTCTATTGTATCTTGCAAATAAAATGTGCAAGTACTATATTAATAATTTTCGAAATGTAATCCATCTCCGCATTCATTTAATAATCTCTAGTGAGATGCGAATCACTATTCATGCTCGTATTATTCAATTTACTTAATGAACCAAAACAAGTTAATATACTTTTTGCCGTAGACACAATTCCATGTTAATTAATTATTGTAATGCGGTAATATTAAAAGAAATTTTGAATGAAAAATTCAAATATTCATACCCTTTTTATTATGTCCCATCTCGATTACGTTGTCCAGTTCATGGGTCATCTTTAAACCCTTGTTGACGTTGTCTTTAAAGTTACGGCGAATATTCGTATCATATCTCAATACAGTATGATGGTTTAACATGAATAAAAGCAATAAGGGTCGAGTGTACGAAGCTGTGAGGGTGCAGGGCACTAATGGCCTTTTGTACGTCACTGCCGATACCATCACCTCGCCATCATCGTAAAGGTGCAAGGATTCTTCCTTTCAGTTAGTTATGGTAATTCACTTTCGTACTTCAAACCAGTCTCTTCCCTCCATCATCTTGTCGCTCTTTTCCCTTTACTTTTCCCTCTGCTTTTCAGCATTACCCGACTTTTTATATTCTCAACTGACTTTAAGGACCTGAAACGTCTTAAAGGAATGAGACAAACCTTGAATATGTAGCTGATTGTTGCGAACAATTAAAAAAAATAAAATTGAATAACATAAAATAGAGATGTTATTAAAAATAAATTTAATATATTCACAGATTTTCTTCCACTATTTTAGGGTACGTTATCCGAAATGAGATACAGATAAGCACATCAAGATAACTAGAAATTAAGTGTATCGCTACATCGATATTTTTTTAAGAGAGGAATGGAAGAGAAAGGCAAGGGAAATTCATGGTTTTAGGTGAAAATTCCATTGTCCGTGGAACATGCACGTATTATCATTACAGGGAGAGAACTTCGGTATGCAAGGGTTTCATTAAGCCAAAAACTTCCCTTAAATTCCTATCCCCTGCGAAATCCCTCTCGACATTTGCTCCATTCCATCTTGATGATGGTTGTCGAAGGTTTTCCACTTCGTTCTTTTCAATG